TTGGGAGTGCCAATATCATGAGCATGCTTTGCCGCCTTCCTGGGCTAAAGACATTCAGGCCAATGAACACACCATGCTGTGGTCGCGAGGACTGGTTGAGGTGCCGGATCACAGGATCACTGTGGGCTTGGATTCACTGGAAGTCCATGGTGTGTTTGCTCATGGGTGGCCCATCCGTGTCCCACCCAGTCAGCGGCTTGCCATTGCTGTGCGTCCCACTTGCAAGGAGCCCCGCCTGCGGCATTTTGTTGTCTCCATCATTGTGGGAGCGTGGCAGGATGACTTGTGGCAGCTCACGGGCAAGTGCGCATGTGTTGCCCCTGGCGAGGCCACGGAAGCCCGAGCATGGTTCTTCGGCTGCTGGCTGCTGCTTCAAGCCACCCTTGGCCATCACCAGGTCAATGTGGCGCATCGAGCTGGATGGACAGCGCTCAACAAAGGAGGCAATGGCACGTGTGCTCCTGATCTATGGCATAGTCTGCCTGCAGAAGAATGGAAGCGGCTGAGGATCCTCCATGTTCCAAAGAAGATGCTACGTGCCACTGGTGATGATAGGAGGGCATGGCTTCAGTTTCAGGAGGCTGACATGTGTGCACAGAACAGGGCGGTCAGCCTTGCCCCTGCGGAGGAAGTCAGGCAGCTGCATGATGATGATCAATGGCACCAACAGGTCTATGAAGTGGCGGCTCAAAGGATCAGCATGATCCTCACTGACACAGAGCACTACATGCATGGAAAAGTTGAGCCTGTGCCCACCCCTTACAAGGTCAAGGCTGAGAGACCGAAAGGGCGCCTTGACATCCTGCGTCGGTTGACCCAGCAGGAGCGCAGGGAAGGGCAGCACACATGGGCTCTCCACGGGCAAGGCATCAAATGTCAAACTTGTGGCCTCCACATCAAGAGCTGCTCCACTCATGAGGAGATTGCGCGGAAGCAGGCCACGAGCTGCAATGGAGAGATGAGCCGCACCCTCACCCAAATCAAGTTGGATATGGTGGAAGCCAGTGAGGCGCTGGATGAAGCTCAGCCTGGGCACAGGTGGTTCAGCAGGCCCAGTTCCTTTGGCTGTTACCGCTGCTGGCTGAAAATTCCCGGGCGCTCCAGCAAAGAGGCGGTGCAGCAGCTCAGTGCAAAGCCTTGTGAGCATGGCCCGGTGGACGTGCAGACTTTGGAGCTGAGAACGAAGGCCAACTCGCAACATGTCTTGTGGAAGCGAGGTGACTGGTTGGAGTGCCAAAAATGCCACCGTGTGACTAAGATTGTCCACGGACGGGCCCAGTCTTGGCTGGCTGGAGAGTGTGCTGGCACCAAGAAACAGAGCAAGCTGCGATTTGGGCCGAGCTCTGAAAGCTAGAGGCCGAGTTCGGTAGCAGTTGTGAGATGCTCTCTTGAGAGAGCTTGGAGTACAAGGCGAATGAGCCTTGCTCCCATGTGTACATCTAGCCACTTTTGCCTTGTTGGTGTGGCTTGGGACTTGGCAGACGGAAAAGAGCGGGGGAGAGGGAGAGAGGGAGAGAGGGAGAGAGGGAGAGAGAGTGTGTGCTGAGAAAAAGCACTTGCTACGTCGCGTGCAGCTGTTTCTTTTTTAGCTCCTATTTGGACCAAGGTCTAAAGGTGGAAATCTGCCCCAAATTTGGCGAGTTGTGAATAGCCGTGAAACTAGGCGTTGGTATCACTTGCGGCCGGATGGGTTTCGTTGGAAACATCAGTCACGACCTGTGAGCACCAGCGATTGGTCGCATGGCATGGCTCGGAGCTCGCCGTTCGGTGCAAAACGGCCTCGTTCGCGAGATGACTTCAGACGGTGAAAAGGGTGGACTGGCGCGTGACAGGGCTCGTAGGTCTTCATAGGTCCACTCGCGAAGTCACAAAACCTCGCGGAGCCAAAAGCCGGAGCTTTGTTGGCTGGGGCTCATGAGCAGCATCCGATTCTACAAACTCATAGATTTCATTGGCTGTTACGTGCACAGTGAAGCTACTTGGTGAGTTTGAGACACAGCTTTCAGTGGCGCAGTTTGAGGAAAGTCCGACGTCTTTGCATAGACAAAGCAACATGAAGACTTGGACTAGAAGACTAAGATTTTCTAGTTTCTGGCGACAATCCATGCCGGATTTGTGGGACTTGAGCCATGACGGCATCGACGTTCTTAGCTGCTGCTGATGCCTGTGCCAAAGGTTGTGGAGATGCAAAGCAGGCCATGGCAAACAAGAAAGCCTTCCTCGTGCCAAAGTGTTTTCTCACCTCCGTTTGGAGATTGCCAGCCTTCCAACAAACATCCTCGGTCATAGCATCCCTTATTCTACGCAAAGCACTAAGCACAATGCTTCAGATCTTTGCAGGTGGCAGAGGCTCTCAGCGAACTGGAGGTCGCTGAGTTGTGAAATCTCATAGACGCTCACTTTGGGTCAGACAAAATCATGCAACTACTGCACTTCATTCACATCTTTGCATAGACTTGAGCATGAACGCAGTGAAGCCATGACTACACAACTTCTCAGAAACAAGTGGCAATGGAGAGCCTATAATCATTAATCAGTCACCTGCCACCTGCGATATTTCTTGATCATCACCAGCTGTTGGCCTATGTGATTTAGACCTCAGCCCCTGCATCCAGTCTGGCTCCCTATGGCACGAGCTGTGCCACGTTGGCTGGGAAAGGCTGCGAGTGGCAGAGTCACAGCTGAGGCCGGGTCGAGTGAAGTTTGTTTCAAACGAATTCAATATGTTTAAACAAAAACCTTATTCATCCTTGTTCCTGGTGGACATTTGGTGGCAATGAAGCCACGTTGTGCACCACGAGGACCTCCACTCATTTGGTGTCATGTGTGGGTGAGATGAAATGATGAACCTGTTGCTCAAGCCAATTCAATCACAATTACTCTTATTCTCCCCGGAAGTGACGATGCGACCCCTCAATGGCCTAGGAAAAAGGGGTACGTGAGGCACCCGAGGCTCACAAGATGGTCAAGTGCGTGTTGGAGTGCTGGGACATTGTTGGAAGGCATTGACTGGAGATTGCTGCAGCTCAGCAAGTGGTCTTGTGCTGCTTTTCCGTCGTGTGCAGGTCCTTTGCGATTGATGAGTTGGCTAAAGCGTGCTGCGGGAAAGCTACCTCTGCTTTCTCTGAACTCTCGAATGACCGGGCCTGGGAGGGAGGGTGTTCTCCTGTGGAGATATTGTTTATTGCATACATCCCGCTTTCGTTAGATCAATTGCATGCTTTGCAGTGCACTAGCATGCTGACTTGTGCATTGCTTCGGAGATGTCTCCCGTTGTTCGCTTTCCGCAAGCATCGTCCACCGTCAATGGAAGGACCTCCTTCGTCCACCTTGGGTGCAACTTCCCTCTCGCGTAGAGGATGCTTTCAGGCAGGATCCCTCTCTGCAAGCTGAAACAATCGTTTTCCGCACAGGTTGAGTTTTCCGCAAAACAAACACGAAAACAGCGAGTTCAACTCCATCGGGTCCCGCTAGTTCCCCGCTCGCAGAGTGGATCCCCCCAGTGTCCATTGGAACATTCTTGGCGCTTAAGTTGGGATACAAGTGGATTATTCAAAGTAAAGATTTTGAACTAGGAACAAGAAGCTACTAGGGGCTCCTGACATCGCTACTGGGAGCAAGGACGCTACTAGGAGCTCCTGGCCTTACCACTACGAACAAGAAGCTACTAGATTTTGATCGTTCTCTCATGACTGCGCAGGACACAACCAGATGAGTTGGAGGCTGATCCACCACATTTCCTGGACGCCAAAATAACTTCGTTGAGTTGACGTAGGGCCGAGCTGAGAAGCAACTTGTGCAGATATCTTTTTGAACTTGAACTCACAGTGACAGGTTCTTTGTACTGTAGACTGCCATCCTGTACCATGCTCAGCGGTTTTGACAAAGGATGCACCATTGGTCCAAGTTGCGGTACTGCCAGCGGTTCACAAAGGATATGGATGACACCGGGCTGTGCTGGCACTGCTGGCACAAAGAAGAGTGCAATGGTCGACCAGCTGAAATTCAGGCCATGGCTGACATGAAATCATTTCCGGAACGGTGGAACCGTGGAACCCTGCATTGGTCGCACAAGCACTGTTGTGAAGGTTGAGCAAACGTTCACCGCAAGAGAATTGTGAAAGATTATAAGAGTACTTGGATGATGCCAGCAGGCTAGGCGGAAGTTCGATATTTGCGAATCAAGTGAGTTACGGGGGTTAGGGGGAGATGCCGCGGACAAATGGGTTATATAAATATAAATTCATGGGTTCAACAGTCGGCCAAATGGTCTGTTTTTGGGAGCCGTGGGGAGAGTTGATGCTGATGATGCAAGTCTTGGGAGTGTTTAGGGTCTGCTATGGGAAGTTCGGAAGGACGGATGGATGGACGGGTCAATTGATGGATGGATGGACGGAGGGACCGGTTGGATGTATGGATTGTGCGAGTCAGCGAGTGAGTAGGGTCCATGTGGGTGCACTACAGGTTGAAGTTCAGCCTGTGAGTGTCTACGAGCGAAATTTTGCTTTGGCGCTTGCATCGAAATGATTCCGGTTGGAATGAATAGGTGTCTGCACTGAGCTCGCTTTTGTACTAATTAGCCTTCTATGGTGAAGCATTTCCTCTAAGAGTGGACTATACGGCTGATGCCTGGTGCGACAGGATTTGCTGTATTTGGCACGACGACTGAGTGGCTCGGCATCCATGAGCCACCGAGTTCGCCTGGCAGAACCCTTGCTGCAAACAGTTCATCGTGCTTGCAGGAGTTTTAGATCTCATGGACAAATCACAAGACCAAAGCAATCACTTTCCTGGAAAGCCATGTCTTCTTCTTGGGCAATGGTTTCGATTTCTTGGGTCAGGCTTTGAGTGGAACGGTGTTTGAAGGTTCATCACCGTCTTGCACACCTCCATCTCAAAAACTCCTGCCCCCTGTGGGGCCCTCCGCCGCCACCCATCTCCGCCTTTACTTGAAAAAATCAAGGAAGAGCGATGGTCTTACTTTCAGCAGCTGGGTGATGCAGTCGCCAAGTTGGCACCCCGAAAGCTGCTGGTGATTGGAGGCTTGGGAGCTGCTTGGCTCATGCCAGATCCCGTCGGCACATTGAGCTGCTGAGGGCCTATGTAATTTCAAAGAACCGCAGGCTGGAATGAATCAAAGCCTTTCACTGGGTTAATCTTGAGCTTAAATGCCTGAGTTCGAGCACACCTAAGGTGTCTGCAGTGCATGCAGCTCAGGCGGTGGTGTTGCTTCCCAATGCCTCGGAAGCCATGCAACAAGTCGTGCGGCAGGTCATGCGCCAAGGGCCCAGCCTGGGTTCACCAGATTACTAGCACTGTACAGTGAACACAATTGAGGTAGAACTAGAACCTGTATCGTAGAAGAGTCCATCCAAGGTGACAATGGCGCATTTGAACGCGTCACGGTTGTCAGCCACCTGGACCCCATTGACTTGGAGAGCTTTGATGCCTGTGCACTGGAAGGCTGTGAGTGAGAGGTGTCAGGGGTTGCAAGAGTCTTTTAGCATGCTGGCCTCAAATTTTCCCTACAGGTTTTGAGCCTGATGGCCTCCTGGCCACTGGAATTCTTGAAATTTGGCAACAGCTTCGCCCGCAGATGAACAAGGCCAAGGCGACCACAAGAGCTATGAACATGGAAAAACACACACACACAAGCACCAAAAACACACTGCAAACTTAAATTGCGTGGTTGGCTTTTCTAGGCACCAAAACGACTCCACCAGAACTCCCATTGTCTGGCGGTGTCGCTTGAGGTTCTTCCGGAGCACTTGCGGGTCTCGGTGGCACTGGCATCTTCGCGGCTAACAGAGGCTGCTGGCGTTCAAGTGGACTTGGACTCACGGCAGAATCTGTTCAGACGTCATGAGATCTCGCCGTGTGGCTGTAGATTTGCGAGGAAGACGTGAAGACTTGGATTTGCTCCATGAGGTCAGGCAGATGAGCTTTAAAACCGACTGATAAGTCCAGAAGGCAAGTTGTTCTCTTGTTCTCTTCAAAAGCTGCTGATGACCGAGTGGACCACTCCCCAGGAACTTTTCGCAGATGCTTATGGCGGCCTGGCTCCCATACCGCTGGCGGTTTCGCGATCTGACAGAGGCCAACAGGCTTCACACTTCACACTTTGAGCTTCCATAGACTTAAGAAAACCACTTAGGCCATCTCTGATGGTTTTT